CTCGAATCGTACGACGATTATCATCATTGTTAAATATTAATTCCGGCCGGGGCTCGTGCTCGTCGTTTCACAGGTCGTTCGCGTGCACCGTCGGTGCCATTGGCTCTCAGCAGGCCTGCAACACACAGAAAGAAAGAAAGAATTATAAACGTGCGAGAGATAGCGCAAACATTGAAAAATTATGACTGGCCATTAAATTGATATTATACATTTCTATGTTTGTACCGGCGAACGATGTCAAGGTATTCCCTCCTCGACTTTGTTATCGAACGAATGGTAATTTTCGCTGCTTCAAATACGACGAATATAAAGTATCGATCTTGAAAAAGGAGCCGCTTATCAATCTCTCCGATCTCAATTATACTTTTGTGTTGGGAGGCGCATAATAATGTAAGGCGCGCGTGCTGAACACGACACACTCGGCGCGTATTACAACGCGTCCATTTGGAAGACGACTCTCGTACATAATAATGTACATAAATATCGTTAAACTCGCGCAACATGGGGCGCACGCCGCGCGTATACATCGTGTACGTCGTTTTTTAAGACGATCGAGTCTGCAGGATGCGCTTCTTCTTCTTCTTCGCGACTATATAATATAATGGGGATTCCGGCGGGAATTATGAGTTCGCGAGAGCAGGTGGTAAAGGTCACGGCGACTCCGCTCGAACGCCACGAGACCGCCAACTAGCACTCCTTGTATCGTAGATAAATCTCGTCGGTGTATCGCCTACTCCTCGCGCGTCATCGTATATCGTGAGCGAGCGCGACGCGGCGCGCTTGCATTAAAATGATTCGATTTTTTTGTCGTTGCGTGTATGAAGTTTAAGTGGTATCGAATGCACACCAATCGGTTTCGTATCGATTTACCGGCCGCATTACCGCGACGGTGAACGAAGGTGTAATGATGGTTAGAATCAGGTAAGGTACAATCGTATGGCTACAAATTTTATTGAAATTTTAGGTAAACGTATGTATCAGCGCCTATACATATTTACAATTGTCAAGAGAAAAATCACGATGATCATGATAAACATAATCGTCTAATATATAAAAATTTAACTTTATCGAAACTATGTCGAAAGTTCATATTAAGTGTGGTAAATCAAATTGCGTTCATAAGCAATAACTTTTATATTTTGTCATATGCATAATCTTAAAAAACGTCGAAATTGTTTTGGGATTAAAGGATTAAAGGGTACACTTTGCGACTCATTCGAGTGTTTTTCAAATTTCTTCTCATACTTGACGCACGTGTTAACTACGACCTTCATGAATCTTCCTTTGGTGGAAAAGTAAATTCGATATTTGTTCAAATTTCCTTTCGCATTTGTCGCATGCGTAATCTTTGTGACCTTGGTGGACTGTCCTTTGGTGCCGAAACAAGTCTGATTTTTGTCCAAAATTTTTCTCGCACTTGTCGCAAGCAAAATCTTTACGACCCTCGTGAACTGTTCTCACGTGCGTGAGCAAACACGACTTTCGTGTGAATTTTTTCTCGCATTTCTCGCATGCGTAATCTTTGTGACCTTCGTGGACTATTCTTTGGTGTTTTTTCAAAATGCTTTTAAACCCGTATTTCTTATCGCACTTGTCGCACGCGAAATCTTTACGACCTTCGTGGACTGTTTTTTGGTGGTCGAGCAAATTTGATTTTTGTCCAAATTTCTTCTCACACTTGTCGCACGCATAATTTTTACTACCTTCATGGATTATTCTTTGGTGAGAGTACAGATTTGATATTTGTCCAAATTTCATCTCGCATTTGTCACATAAGTAATCTTTGCGACCCTCGTGGACGGTTCTTTGGTGTGTGAACCACTGGTACTTATCTCTAAATTTCTTCTCACAAAGACCGCATGAAAAATCGTTGCCACCTTCGTGGGCTATCTTTTGGTGTCTAATCAAACTATATCGTTGTCCAAATTTTATCTCGCACTTGTCACATGAATAGTCTTTACGTTCTTGATGGACTGTCTTTTGATGCATAATTAAAGACGATTTATGCCCAAATTTCTTCTCACACTTGTCGCATGCGTAATCTTTACGACCTTCGTGTATTGTTTTCTGATGCAAGAGCAAACTTAATTTGGTTCCGAATTTCTTCTCGCACTTGTCACATGTGTAGTCTTTGCGATCTTCGTGAATTATTTTTTTATGGAATAGCAAACTTGATTTTTGTGCAAATTCCTTCTGGCACTTGTCACATGCATAATCCTTGTGACCTTCGTGTACTGCCATTTGGTGCCTAGTCAAACTCATTTTTAGTCCAAATTTCATCTGACACTTGTCGCATACGTAATCTTTGCGACTTTCGTGTACTGTCTTGAGGTGTCTGATCAAATTATTTCTTTGTCCAAATTTTTTCTCACACCTGTCGCATGCATAGTCTTTGCGACCGTTGTGTACTGTTATTTGGTGTCTACTTAAAAGAGATGGGAACACGAATTTTTTCTCGCACTCGTCGCATGCAAAATCTTTACGGCAGGTGTAATCTTCACAACCTTCGTGGACTGTTTTTATATGCAAAAGCAAACTCTGCTTATTTCCAAATCTCTTGGCGCACTTTTCGCATAAGTAATCTTTGAAAATTTCGTGGAATATTTTGTTGTGCTTGAGTAAAGTCGATTTATTTTCAAATTTTTTCTCGCACTTGTTGCACCTGAAATCTCCGCGATTTTTGTGTACCAATTTTTGGTGCGTGAATAAAGTTGATTTTTCCACAAATTTCTTGTCGCACTTGTCGCATGCATAATTTTTTCGTTCATTATGAATTGTGTCCCGGGGTGTTATCAAGCTTGATTCTAGTTCAAATGCCTCTTGAAAAATATTAGAAACGTATTTTATTTCGTCTGAAACAACAATCTCATATTTATTTAAATTATCTTTCGAGACAACTTTTTCGCATTTCTTCTCACTTTTATCCATTTTGGTGCTTCACTCAAACGATAGATCCTTCTACTTAGTGCCACGAAAACTTAATAAGTTTCATGGGGAAAGACAACATTCTAACTGATTTGCTTTCACCATAAACACGATTAGTGTGTCTAGGAACAATGTCCAAATTGTTAATGATCATATTTTGTTGACACAATTTAGTTAATGATTTGACGATGTACACATTCCCCTTAGAACATTTGAACCAATTTAATTTTCAATCTATTCTTCACATCTATTTCTTCCAAGGATCATATCAATGTCACATCTTTCAAATGTATTCAATCGCCATTTCATCAGAGATTTATCCATAATTTCCACGAAATGATTCCTGGACCGAGTCGAGCCCGTAGAACAGATCCAGCCTCGACTCGACCAGGACGATGGTCACGGATGCGCGGAAATCACCCGGAAAACAGATTCATAATTCACACGCACTTTCTTACATATCTCTTATCGTGTACGCAGACGAGAATATATTACGTATGCAGTAACGCGTGTCCGGAAGCATTACTCGTGCGCGCGTACACACGCACAGTCCCGGCAACTTCTATACGGACGCATTATTTCAAGGTCTCCTCGCTTGCGAACATTCTAATGGTACAAAGATAGAAGCTCACGGACGCCTTATAATAATGAGAATATCACCGAGTTCAGAGCGTGTCTCGATATCTTTTAACGATTTTTTCGTGTTAAAGCCTTTTTACGGCTAGGTACATCAAGAGTCGCGATATACCCGTGCTCGAGCATTATAAAAAGGGCACAAAAGTCGAGTGCTACGCAACTGTTATAATAATCTAGATCCGCAGTCGAGTTTCTCTCTCTTTCTCTCTTAGCGAAGGAGCTCGCGATGCGCTACTTAACCGCGGCAATGCCGCACTACACACACACGGTGCATTGTTTTGCGCAATGGTTTACTCTACGCTGCTACACGGAGGGCTTTGCTATACACAAGTATATCGAAGCATTAGGCCCCCCCTGTGATCTAACGGTTACAACAATGAATCCAGCCGTCGCTACATGTACAGGCTCTCCAGGTGTGTAGTGGTACGTGTGTGTGTACATCATCGATACGCCGAAGTTACCCGCGCTCAAGTCTCGTCTGAAATTTATTGCATCCATTGTTCGGCCGACTTTTATATTATAACACGTAGATAGCTTATTAAAAGCTTCGGGGGCCTGCGCGATCGGCTTCTCTCGTGTACGTTTCCTATACATCGCTGCGCGCCGATTTTTCGTTCTCTCGAGCTCGAGACGCGAACTATATTAAGGTATTTACACTGCTCGTGCGGATTTTCGACGAAATTAAATCGTTACATTGTATTTTACGGACGATCATCGAGGTTGAGACGCGCGTATACATGTCGCGTGCAGCGGAAGTGTGTATGAACGCGCGTGAGATTTTTTTTTAAGGATGCGTCAGACGTTAATGGGCTCGGACTTGTATGTTTCAATTCGATCCGTTGTTTAAACAATGACTCTGTGTGATCGTTTGGTTTCGAAAATTTCCAAAAAGTTAGTAAAATATCGCAGTCGAGTGCTTTTATTTAATGAATCAAAACTGAATTTTCTTCTTTTATTAATAAAATTATTTGATTGGTGACGAGACTTTGCATCATTTAATAAAATAACAATTATAAAAAGTTAACAAAGTATAAACAAAATGTTTAAAGAGAAAAAACGAGATCGCGAACGTCGCCACGCATTTCAACTCCGTTCGTCGTCATCGATCTCTACTGCCCTGCATATTCTCAACAAATCCTCGTTCATCAGAAAATCGCACACTCTATCGCAGCAGAGAATCGGCAGCCGCGTCAGCTCCGCCAAACCATCCAGCGCCCATCGTCGGCAAAATCCTCTCAGCTGTATCTCGTTCAGGTGCGCCGTCAACGCGCGACGATGCACCCCCTTCATCCACCAGAGTGGCACCGGGTCCCGTATCCTCGAGTGGTCCTCGACGGTGCATAATTTCGCCGCCTTCTCCACCGGTCGCACCAGCAACAGGTCGTGCAGCGACAGACTCGGCTTGATCGTTATCTGTTTGGCGCAATGGACGAACTCCTTGCTGCTGCGCAGATACTCGTCGAGATCGGGCGTCCTCTTGAACGCGCCGAACTCGGTGAATATTTTCACGATCGTCGAGGCGTCGCTTCGGTCGATCGCGTATCCTCTTCTCTC